GTAAGTAGCTTTCTCATGGTGAAAAATAATAATTTTTCTACTGCTCCCTTACTTATACGATGAAATTTGATTTAATTCTTCGCGTACGAAGTAATTTATGAATTTGCACATAAGCTTTGTAAAATGTTGGATTTTACGGGAGCATGTATGAAGACATTGAATTACTTTAAACCAGATGTTAAGTGATTTCGATGGTAGGAATCTTTTCATGACTTAGGTTGATATTTGATTTAAATGATTATTTAACATAAGCTTACTTATTTTCATATAAGACACAAACCTCCCTTTCGAAGTAAATTGTTTACATATATTTTTATATTTTTAATATTCAAATCTTCTACCTTTAGCTTATTTCCCATCTATGCCATACTCACGGAGTTGATGATCACTAAGTCTGTGAGATTCACCCCCTTATTTTCTTTTACAGATGAATAATCAGTTCTAGTGCATTGTTCAGCACCTTGAGACTGGCTACAACCTAAGTAATGGCATCTCTTAGACTTCCACTCCAAGTCACTCCGTTGCCTAAAGGTCGGATTGTGTCAAATAGTCAGACTTATAACGATTAATAGTTATTGGAAATGTTTTTGCTAAAACTTAAAATTATGTAATGATTACTACATATTATATTGAAATTGTATGAAATTATCAAACTTGGTTATTAGTATCGAGATGCCATATTTTAAATATTGTGATTATTTAGTTTAAATGAATTATGGTATTAAAATTGTAAGTTGAGTTTAAATTGCCCAAAGGCTTAACTAAGGCTTGTTTGAGATTTGGTGGGTTCACTCGCAAGTCTCGAACACCGATAGCGATCAAGGGAAGAGGTCATTACAGACTCTAGCAATTTTTACCAAAGAATTCTTAAATATTTGCATGCATAATTCTTATTTTTTATTTCCTTCAATATTACATCCTCACACAACAAATCTCACAACCTTATAATCATTCGTTCTAGCCCCCCCAATCATTTGGTATACAAATTCAAAAATTAAGTCACAATTGTCTTACCCTTTTCTCAATAGTTCTACTTGGTCGAACCTTTCTTAGCGTCCTCCTTCTTTCTTCCATCTTTCTTTCCTTTCCTCCTTTTTTCACTTTGCTCCCAACCGACACTCTTGTTCTTCCAAAGGCGCGGGATTTTTTTTCTCAAGGTAAGATATTTTGCCGTTCCTTGGAGTGGGTGAATTCTCCCAATTGCCCCACCACTCAAATTTTCTTGCTTTTCTTTCCTTATGGATGACTTGTCCAAGCTTGATTACTTTGGTAATTGTATTTATTCTTTACATGTGGTTAAAATTACAAGTCAAAAGCTTTTGTATCCTTCACCCGCCACCTTCATTGACTATTCTTTCACTTTCATTATTTTCTCTTCTTTTCTCTGCATAGGCGGATTGCCTAAGACTTAATGGCTTTTTTACTTTTCTTCGTTGTACTTTGTGTGAAAAAATTACAACGCAAAAGCCTTTGAAATCTTTCCACCGCCACTTGCATTTCCATTTTTATTTTTCTTGACAACTTTATTCCATGCACTATATTTACTTCATTTTTCATTTTTTTTTTATAAATTTGCACAATTTCCAACAATCTCATATGGGATGGTTGGCCATGGAAAGAAGAAAGAAGAGCCAAAGCTTTTTTTGGGAGCTTTGACCAAACTAAATAATAAAATTACCATTTAACCCTCCAAAGTTCTCATCCTTTTAATAAGTCCCCCATCATTCCTTAAATTCCAATTTTCTTCTATTTTCCTTCCTTGATATATGTACAAATATAATATAAGGTTTGCACCCCATCGACGTGTCACCATAATATTTAAATATATACTTACCCACTTATGCTCTATTTAATAAAGACACGCAAATCCCTCTAACCTCATTTTTTTTTTTCGAATTCTTCTTTTCTTCTTCTCCTCCACTTAAATTAGGCATATAACCCTCTCTTTTAACTAATCTCACTAATAAATAAAATATTAATAATTTAATAATATTTTATCTATAAAATATTATTTTATTTCAAAATATTCTTTTTATCTATCACCGTTCTTTGACACTTAGACTTACATCAAATAACTCTTCGTCTCATCGATAGATTCTTATTAACTTCTAAACGAGGGTACGAGGTGTTACACTGCTTTACAAAGGTTTTGACAATTTCTTCCCAATTTGTAATAATGGCAACAGGTTTAATGTAAAACCAATAAAAAACAGCTTCAGTTAAGGTCATTAGAATGACTGCAAGCAATTGTTCCCTATTCAATTCTTTTGTTTGTAAGCAACTACAACATATCTCAAATGCAGCAAAGGATCTCTATATCTATTTTTCTTAAGGCGACAACTTGAAGTCCACAACTAGACAAGATTCTAGATAAACTATCATAGAAAATATCATTAGCTCCAAGCATTTTTTGCATTGCTGATCTTATTTTATCAAGCTAGCCTTGATTATCTCTCTGATTTGCCCTTGTTAGATGTGGACATGGAGAAAGGCTATGATGAAAATTTTAGCCATTTAAAGAATTGTCTCAAAGGTTTTTTTTTTTTTTAAATTGGAAATGGAAAATTGCTTAAAAAATCAAAGAATTTACAATAAAAATCATATAATAAGAAAAATAAGAAACAATTTGTGATGAAATGCGAATGTAAATGACAAAGAATTTCCAAACTAATATAGATTACCAACAACTTGGAACTACACAGATACTAACAAAGAATTTCCAAACTAATATAGATTACTAGCATCTTGGAACGATGCAAATACATACAGTCAAGGGTCAACTCTAGAGAAAGTTTCCAACTTTTCCATTTTCATTCCAACCTTATTTCTCCAAGAGTCTAATGGCCTACAATAAGCCTAATTACCCTCTAATCCTTTTTACCAAACCGTCAATGTTCTAGATAGATCATCAACGATGGGAAACCAGTACACACTTCAAACCCATTATAAGACCAAAGGTGCCACCACGTTTTAGAAAATAAATCACAAAGAGACAAGCTAACCTAATGTGGATCCTAGCCTCCAAGAAACCATAGTCCTAAGTTAAAAAAATCATATAATACGAGATGTGATTTAAAATTTATTATCCTAACCAAGGTTCTTAAAAGTGAAATTTTAAGTCACATCATTTTCCAGTGAAGTCGCCACTGTAAGTGGCATGATATCACCCCTAATTCTTGTGAGTCCCAACTTTAATTGAACTCTAAATTATTGTCACTTAAGGCAAGATTTCGAGCAGCCACCCAATATTTTCTTTTATTGGAACCGAGAAATGATTATAGGCTTCAAGGCGACAAGTTTTATAATTGCTGAAGAATTTGGTTCAGACATTTGGATTTGAACTAAAAGACTCAAAATTTCCAACCTCACCTTGGATACTCAACGTCTACTATTCGATTCTAAATCGATTTGATTAGGGACCAAAGTCAAAAATAAAATCTCACCTTTACTAATATATCATACAATTATAAACGATTGGATGTCCTATATATCATGAATGAATCTAAAAATATACATGTAGGCTGGCTGCCTTAAGTGGCCTGTTGGCTATTAATATGATGCAAACAAATTCTTCTAAAGTATATAAAATAGAGCATCCTATAGAACAACAAAGAAATAACTACACACTAAGAAAAATGAAAAATCGTAACATACAAATTTTACATGATGTTCAAAAAGTACAAAATATTTCTGTAACCACATAACATGCCAAATAATGAAAATGCCATTGGAATTCAATAGTATGTTAAAATGACATGCAATAAACCTACACACCATAACGAGATTATTCTTAAGGCTATATCACATAGCATAAGTGATCTCGAACTACATGGCCTAGCACAAGTATTTCCTATACTATAAGGTATACTTTAACATATTCAGGGTATGAACATTATGGACTTAACTTCAATTTTCTATATGGCGTGCCTCATCATGAAATCCTACTAAAATTATCATGGCATACTTTATGATAATCCTATCGTCATAACCATTCTATATGACATATGTTAACATGGTAATCCTATACGTCTATATAGCATACCATTATGATGATAATCATAATCTTAGCATGTTACCATGCGTACTAATATGCCTAAATGATAAACGATCATATAGATAAGTTGTATTCTATGTTGTCGTAATATGGTGTTTAAGTGTCATTGGGATGAACCCACTTGGACTTAGGTTCAAGAATTTAGGCTAGTGTGGGTGAAAATTGGATTGGCATGAGCTAAGTTTGGACTTTCCTCACTTGTCTAGGCTCATCTAGAACTTCTAGGATCGTCTGCTCGATAGGTTCTTCTGGACCTTTTGGATCAAGGCTTGGATTTTACTCTCTAGACTAGAGGGGACTTCAGTCTAAACCACGGTTTTGTCGAACCGCCTCCAATCATCAAGGACTCTGGTGAGTGCAGAAAAGAGCACTTAAAGAGAGGGAGAAGGTGTGGTGATAAGAGGAATAGAAGGGCCCATTCAAGAACAGTTGAGATTTGATGAGATGAACGATCCAAATTAAAGAATAAATTTGGTAATTATCTCTAATCAATGATAATTAACTATATTTATCACTTTGAGATAATGATCAAGATAAAATAAAATAAAAAGTGTGTCAAATATATTAAGTCAAAATATATGACCAGATTCATCTTTTCTTTTTATTAAGCGACCAAGTTCAATTTATCTCTTAAAAGCATTATGTCAATCTACACTATTATTTATCTCAACAAGACCTCTTTTTTTATTTTTTATTTCATAAATCTGAAATTATGCTTTCAATTATCCAAAATTCAAGGTGGCAAATTTGGTGCCTAGAACAGGCATAGCTTGACAACAAGGTATTAAAAGAAAATACTTCATGTTTTTAATGAAGTGAAAAGCTTAATTGTCACAGGCAAATTTTTATTAAAAAATTTAATTTACACTACTATAACCTTAGCTTCCAGGGGGAAAAAAAGAGGGCTTGGGGCTCTTCAATTTAGTGTAATGCAGTGTCAGCAAAGTGAGGCCTAAAATTATTCTTATAAAAGCAATGAATCATTTAAGACATGATCCAATAAAGCCAAGCGGGTTTCATTATCTACTAAAATTTCAAAACAAACAAATCAAGAATGCAACTCTAAGACAATAACTTGTCAGATCCTACTAGAGTTACTAATTTGGTACAAGCCATTACCTTCTTGAAGTAATGAAATCAAAATCTACTCCAGCAAAGAAAATTCAGTTTTGATTATGGACTCAGAGATCATCCTTGAACTTAATATCAATACCTAACAGCTTAGCCAGTTTTCCACTCTGATATGCTTCAACAGTATCTGAAAATTAGAAAAATTATCAATAATTTCTCTACTGGTTCTGTATTACAAACATATTTTCATCGCATGAAGATAGGAAAGTTCAATTCATTGGAAAAGAAAAGCAAGTTACCATCTGAGCCTCCAATGTGCTTTCCATTTATAAAAACCTGTGGTACAGTACGCCTGCCAACAATCTCACTCAATGCATCCTGAATGTTCCAACCATCATCTGTCAAATACATAAGCAACTCTCTCAACTTCAGTACTTCAAGTTCAAAATGTGGAAGAACTGCATTCCACAAGTCAATAAGGAGCTACTGTAAAAGGATCAACTGAAATTAGTTCTTGTACATGTTTGTCAGAAATTTCAGTTGAAGCCAGTAGAACTAGGAGAAAACACAGCCTACAAATAAGCTGGACAAGCAGTTAACGGTCTGGTTAGAGTCTAGACCCATTCATTTTCAGCTCTTATCTTATAAGCAAATCAAAATTTCTAGCTCAATAATAATCGAACCGCTGGTCCTGCACTTTGTAAAAAAGGGAATGCAGTTGTTAACAGACCTCGCTCATCAAGCTCCACAGCAAATGGAACCTGGTTCAACTCCTTGAACACAGATTTTGCCCTCCTACAGTACCTGTAGAATACCAAATTGAGCAACAAATTCCAAAGGAAAATACTTGATTCTTAGTCCAAAATTCAAACTTAGTCGCCCAAAAAAACCATTATTAGTAAAAGTTTGGATTGTTCTATATTTACAATAAACAGAGTTTTATCTATGCACTTAATTAAAGGGGGAAAAAGTAGATCAAAAATGAGTATGAAATCAATCAGAAAAATGAGCAGGAAAAAGAGACCAATCGTACAGATCGAAAAGAAAAAGGCAAACATTCACAACGAAAATATTAATTAACTAATTTTGCGATGAATTCAATAAGAGCAGAATCGACGCGAAGAAAAACGTACGGGCAATAGGACTTGGAGAAGATGACGATCTTGTGGGCAGAGATGGTCTTCTTGACGAAAGCTGCTTCAGGCGAATCAGCCAAAGATACCCAACTGAGAGATGCTGAAATTACTAAGATTGATGCTATCCAGATTTTCACTGCCATTGAATCCCTGAATCCGAAAATATCTGTCTGATGATACCACCGATAGCCGTGTTAGCAAACTAGATCGGCGAGTCCGCTTTGGAGTCCCACCCAAATTTCTTTTTATGGGTATTGCACTTTTACATTTGTCTTATTTATTTTAATTATTTGGCCCCTTGCATTTTATCAAATTCTTTTCTTCACCTTTCAATTTTGTTAGACTCACTGGACAGCTTATTTGGTTAAGGAAGAAAAAATGAAATTGTCACATTAGTAAATTTGACAATTTGTGTAAGCATATTTTAACTGCAATAAAAATAAGTTATTAATAATTATATAAATAAATATAAATACATCATAAACATATCAAAATCACAAACGCGTTTATTGATATCTTTATTAAGTATGTATCACGATATAATACGCTTAACATATTTATAAACAAATCAAATTAAATTTTATACAACATGACATGATTGATACTTGTTTAAATGATCAATACCATTAAATATTTAAACATGATTAACACAATTAATACAAATAAATTAAATTATTATTATTATTAGTTTAATTTTCACATACATAAAAATAACATATAATTCTATTATTCAATTTTTAAACTAATAATTATAAACAATTACAATAAAACAATAAACACTCATCTGTCATGTTAAAAATCCATCAATATCAAAGTAAACATAATAAAATCTAACACTAACATCAATATAAGAGAATCATAATAAAATACAAATAATATCCAATAATCCATTGGCATAATGAAACACCAAAAACCTAGATTAAAGACTCTTTCGTCACTGCCACATATTATTCCTCTGCCATAAAAGTTATTTATAAAATAGAAATAATATATTAATAAAATTAGATAAATTTTATATGGGGTACTTGTTCGGATCATAAATAGGTAAATAGGATTATGTGGGTTGACATAATAATACAATTAACTAAATGGGTAAATAGGTTATACGGATCAACATGATAACATGATTAACTAATTGAGTTAAGTGAGTTTTAGATGGATTAAGTAAGTTTCATATATTTAAGACATGAAATTGTCAAATCTTAAATGTATCGACATGATTAATACATGAAATATGATTACCTAAACCTAGATCCGCTTAACTCTGTATCATGCTTGTATCATTTTAATGTGTCGTCTATTGAAATTTCTAGATTCAATTATTAGTTAGAATAGCATAGACATGGAATATATATATATATATATATACACACACATATATATAATAATCACAAGTTGTCTAAGCATACAATTTTTAATGGAAATCTAAACAAATATTTCTTGTGAATAACTCATAAGGAGATTCGTATTGTTTATAATTGGAAAGCTTAATGCTTACTAAGGGAAGGGCTTTCAAAGTGCTCTTTTTACAAACACAAGTCAAAAATACAATCAAGAAGGGCAAGTCAATCTAATCAATGATAAGAGAACAATTTTTTTTGGGCTAAGGGCAATACCATGGCTTTTTTTTTCCGTGCAGATCCTTAAGGTCTTGGTTCAATAAATGATAAAACCTTCTTTCGAGGGGATGGAAAATGATGAGTCACCACTCAAGGAAGAAAGAAATAAACATTAAAGCACTAAGGAATACTAATTGTCAACCTCATTATTGGTCCTAATGGAGTACTAGAGGGGTGAATAGCACTTAAAAATATTTTAAAAGAAATTTTTTGACTTGAAAAACTTTTGAAGAATTTTGAAATTGAGAGTTTAAAACTTGTTGAGGTTAAAAGGCACCAAGAAAGGAAAATGTAAAAAGAAGTGGACAAGGCACAATAATTATAGTGGTCCAGTCTCCTACACCTACATTTGATAAATTTATTACATAAAGTTATTTTGTTACATTTTGGAGGCTTAAGTAACTAAGTCTTTGAGATTTTAGGTTCAAAATTAAGTATTTTAATTATTTTTCTTAGTTAAGTTTAATGCATGTTGAGTAATTTAATTTATGTTACTTTAATTTAATTTTATGTTAAATTTCTTCAAAATAACTTTAGGTTTAGTTATTGCTGATCACTTTTATTACTTATGTAGGAAATTTTATGAAAAGGCCTTATTTGGTGATAATCTGTGCAAGTATGATCATAACTTCATTTATATATACTATAGTATTTTGATCATAACTTTCACTACAAAAGTCCAATTGATGTGAATCTTAAGCTATTGAAAAGATAAAAGACAAGACTATAACTTTCATAGTTACCACTTTTCCTAGTTCATATTAGATCAAGGTGAAAATCATATTAAAAGAGGTTGAATGACTACAGTTTCTACACAAGGCAACATGAGGGAGTGAAAGCCATGACCTTGGAAAGAAAAGGCTACAACGCCTTTGATGCAGCATAGCACCATAGTGGACTAGAGAGATGGTACCACGACGCTGGTGAAACAAGGTCATGGCACCCTAGCAAATTGAAGCTCCCATACATGAACTCGAGAGTAGGGCGCCACGACGCTCAAAAGGAAAGGCCACGGTGCTTGGACGTGTTTTGAAGAATATGTTTTTATGAGAATTTTGAACCTAGGGTTTTTTGAGTTTAGAGGTTTCAAAGATGAGATAGAGAGCAACTATTTTAAAGAAAAAGACGCCAAAAACAAAGCAAGAAAGTAAGAGAATTCAAAGAAGATGTAAGATTCAAAAGCTTATTCTTAATTTCTCTCTTTACTTTTGTTTTTGTTTTCCTTCTTTTGACTTGGATTAATGGTTAATTTTCTTTAGATGATATTTTCAGTTAGTATCATAAACTAATTTACTTTTTCTAGGATTATGATTGAACTCATCGTGTAATTTGAATTCTTTATTTATCTTTTGCTTATTTTCAATGGGTATGAGTTGTTTATTCTAATTCCATGTTTAATACTTTTAATTTCCTGATCACCAATTACATTGATTTGGATATCTAAGTATAACTTGATGAAGTGAGTTTAGATTAGGCCATGAATGGAGTAACATATGTTCAAATTCACTTAGTTGATTAGGTGATTTAATTTTTATATAAGATATGCATCACATGTAGCCAAGGTTAAAGTACAAACTTAATGAATATATCTTCGATTAAATTTACATAGACATATAGTAAATTAATTAAAAGAGATATGTTTATGAGCACCTCGATAGAAACTTATAAATAACTTATAACTCTGGATTAGCAACTCAATCCATTGAAGTCAATTTAGAGAGCATTCTTCTTCATTTTGATCGATACATTACCCAATGTATTAATAAGTTTGGTCAAAATCTATGCCAATGTATTGATACATTCCTAAATATATCGATATATCCCTAGATATTTACAAAAATAAAAGCAACTTTAGGCATTTCACCCATTTAAAACAAACCCCAAATACTTTATCTCTCTACCCATCCAAAAACCCTAAACCCCAAATAAAATTTTAAAACCATTCAAAGTAGATTGGAGCTTAGGAAACTCCTCTAAAGGTATGATTACGTCTTTTACTGATTTATTTTTAATTTAATTAGTTAATAACCAAAAAATTTGATTTATTCCAATTTGCTGAGTCCCCCTTGGTTTGTTGGAATTTGAAACTTAGGGTGCAATCTAGCTTGTAAGGTATAGGTTTAGCTCATTGTTAAAGAATTTAAGCTTATATAATTGATTACTAAGAATTAAGTTAATCTTAAAAAGCTGGATAATTTCGAAAGCTAAGAAATAAATATTATTTGAATGGTTTAATGTGTTTACAGGAAAGTTGGTGTACCTAACTCATTGTTGAGCAAAAAAATGGTTGGGGGCTAAGGATTGAAGCTTGATAGTGGAACGCGCCTTCGACTATCATTGTGAATGGGTTAATTTAAAATGCATGTGATGCATGACAACTTGATAAAGGCACTACCATGGCATTAGATTATAAATTTATGTATGTATATATAATTTCCTAGAGAAATGTGCCTAGGCTAAAGAACGAAAATATATGTGATTGTATGTTGTGTTGTGTACCCTAGTGCAAGCCATATAGTGGCTTATGTTGTGTGAGCCTAGACTAGGAAATCTAGAAGATATGATGAATGTCTAAGAGTAATTTACTCTAGACAATTGACCTTTGTTGGTTTATGAATACTTAGTGCCTTAGAGAATTAAAGGCACTTAGATGAGATATCGAGCTAAAAATGTAAAAAGCTCATTAAGGAAGATCTCTGATGTACATTATGGTCTATGTGATATTGAAGGCATGATAGCCTTGATCTGGGGATTTGCTCCGTCCAATGGATGAATTCTAGATGTTGATTTGATTTAAGGTTTAGTGGCATCCTATTCCTTGTCACCTTGTTTTATTCCTACAAGAACAATAGTAAGCAGGAACGATGGTACTTATCTTGCTTGAGATTCCCACCTGCAGTTCTTTGATGTCATTCATTAAGGTTACTCCAGATAATGACTTTGTTATGATGCCACCTATTTAAGAATACTCCAAGTAATACCATCCGTTGGGAGATTACTCCGCATAATGACTTTGATTTTCCACTCGTTGCTTTGACATACTTGTGATTTGATTTCCACCAACGGCTTTGCCCTAACCATGATTTGACTCCGCTGATTGGCTACCATGCGTGATTTGATTATGTCCAGGAAAGACCACTCAAAGATTATGATTCGATTTGTGAAAGATATGATATAGCATCGATTAGGTTTTGATAAATATGATTATGTTTGACTATGATGATATAAAATGTGAAAATATGGGTATCAATATATGACTGACATGTGGTGGTCATTTGACAAAAAAACTTTGAGAGAAGTAAATCACATATTGAGTTTGAGATAATGCTTGACAATTAGGGTGTGCCTATGGAGCCTCATTTGATGACGATTTCAAAAAGGTAACCCTTAATTGATATGCTTTGTTATGGAGACATAGATTTGATTAAGCATGAACATGGTGTATCGTTGAGACGTGATCAAGGTAAGGCATAGCAAAAGGAGATGTGCACGTAGGATATTTGAATGATCTTTATACATATAAATAGGAGATGTTTACTACAATATTTAGTTGCATTGATAATGCATAAAAATATATACTTGTCTAATATATATGTTTGATTTGTCTACACCCCTCATTGAGTATTATA